GTGAGCCACCACACCTGGCCCATATGCTTTTTGTGTGTGGTTTTTTTGAGACAGTGTTTCTTTCTGTCGCCCAGGAGTACAGTGGTATGATCACGGTTCACTGCAAACTCCACCTTCAAGGTTGAAATGATTCTTCTGCCTCAGCCTCCTGAGTAGCTAGGCTTACAGGTGTGAACCATCATGCCCAGTAATGTCTTAGCATTCTTTTTTTCTAACCACCCCAGTTAAGACTTTCATATGGAATGTTTTCTTATATTTCGAAGGCATGAGGTTTCCTCGTGTTGGTCAGGCAGGTCTCAAACTCCTGACCTTGTGGTCTGCCTACATTGACCTCCCAAAGTGCTGGAATTACAGGCATGATTCACAACACTTGGGCAATGTGCTATGTAAGCAAATAGAAATATCTCTATATATGCATGTATTAAATGTAATAAATAAAGGACACTGGATAAGGTGGCTCATGTGTGTAATAGAAATATGTGGATTCAGCTAAATTTGTATGACTTCTTGAGAGATTTTCTGAGATAGTCTATTTTTTTTTTTTTTTTTTTGCGACCGAGTTTTGCTCTTGTTACCCAGGCTGGAGTGCAATGGCACAATCTCGGCTCACCGCAAGCTCCACCTCCTGGTTCAAGCAATTCTCCTGCCTCAGCCTCCCAAGTAGCTGTGACTACAGGCATGCACCACAACACCTAGCTAATTTTTGTATTTTTAGTAGAGACGGGGTTTCACCTTGTTGACCAAAATGGTCTCGATCTCTTGACCTCATGATCCACCCGCCTCGACCTCCCAAAGTGCTGGGATTATAGGCGTGAGCCACTGCACCCAGCCCTGAGATAGTCTTATGAACACTTTTTATTGTACATGTGTTAAATGCCAAGGACTGTGACAAATGTCTTACATTATTTATTCATTTATGCTTAAACCTGACATAGTATTATTTCCTACTTTCTGAAAAGTGAAACTCAGAAATTAACTTGACCAAGTACATGTAGGTAGCAAAGTGTTAGAGTTGGATGAAAACCCTGTTCTGTTAGGTATTGTTAGCTTTCACTGAAAATGTTACCTGTTTTTCGCCATTGTAGTGTTGGACTAGTAAGTGCATTATTCCCTGTTAAATTATTTCGGAGACATTATTAAGTATGAACAACTGAGCATATCAAATATGAAAGATGTAAGGTGGTTTCATATAGAGAGATGCATAGGCTGCTGTGGAAGTATAAGGAAGGAGCGCTACGACTTAGTGATTATCATGCCAGTGGCTATGCCAGTCAGCGAAATGATGGATAAGCGTGTTCAAATTCTGGTGGATGCAGCATTTACAGCTCTAAGTAAGGATAGTAGCTCCTAACTGATGGAGTTGTTCTGACGGTTTGGTTGAACCTGTGACTATACGGAAGATCCTTAACATAGGCCTGACATATAATAAAATATCCTTGAGAACATGTCACTTGGGCTGAGTCTCTAGTTGCAAAACAGTCCTAGGAAAGAAGTGAGAGTAAGGTAATCTAAGCAGAAAGTAGTTTGTGCAGAAGAGGGAAAGCAAGATATCTATGTTTGTTTGTTTTGTTAAGTACCTTAGGGGACTGTAGCCAGATGAAGATAATGAAATACAGAAGCCTCTGAATGGTGAACTCAGGGTGAAAAACTTTGTCATGACTTATGGGGAATTATTAACAGGTTGTAAAGAGGGGAAACATGTAATTTGTTTAAAAAGTGAAAGCCTGAGGTACAAATTAAATGATATCAACAAGCAATAGGCATGTCGGGAGTGGTGGCTCATGCCCATAATCCCAGCACTTTAGGAGGCCGAGGCAGGCAGATCACCTGTGGTTCAGAGTCCAGACTAGCCTGAACAACATGACAAAAACCCATCTCCACATAATATGCAAAAATTAACTGGGTGTGGTGGTGTATACCTGTTGTCTCAGCTACTCAGTATGCTGAAGCAGGAGAATCACTTGAACCCAGGGGGCAGAGACGGTAATCACCAAGATCCTACAACTGTATTCCAGACTGGGCAACAGAACAACGCTCTCTACCGGATTAAAAAAAAAAAAAAAAAAAGGAGAACCAGTAAAGCAATTGGCAAATCTTGAATTTAGGATAGTCTAGGACATAGGTGGGGGCAGGGAACACTCTTCTAGATTAAAAAAGATTTAAAGGAAATAAACAAATACAATTCAAGGTTCTTGTTTGGTTTCCGATTATAAGACATTTAGCAGAAAGTTCCTTTGGCCAGGAAGAGTGGCACATACTGGCTACAATTTACATCATATAATATATATGTAAAGACATAGTTTCACCCTTGTCGCCCAGGCTAGAGTGCAATGGCATGATCTTAGCTCCCTGAAACCTCTGACTCCTAGATTCAAATGATTCTCCTGCCTCCGTGTCTGTAGTAGCTGGGATTCCAGGCATGCGTTACCACACCGGGCTAATTTTGTATTTTTAGTAGAGATGGAGTTTCTCCATGTTAGTCAGGCTGGGTTAGGTAGCTTGCAAGGTTTAATGGAGGAATCTGACTCGCTTAAAATCAGGTACCTGTAGGTGCCTTGAAAGCAAGGCAGGAAGTTTTTATACCTTACTTTTGTTTTGAAAGTGTCAGACCAACAGAAAGTTTGAAAGGGTGAGTACCCTTATACTTTTTCCCTGGATTCACTCCATTGTTAACTTTTTGTCACATTTATGTTTTCTCTGTTTATATATATTTTTTGTTTGTTTGAGACACAGTCTCACTCTGTCACTCAGGCTGGAGTGCAATGATGCCATCTCGGCTCACTGCAACATCCACCTCCCAGGCCCAAGCAATTCTCCTGCCTCAGCCTCCTGAGTAGCTAGGATTACAGGCATGTACCACCACACCCAGCTAATTTTATATTTATAGTAAAGACAGCGTATCTCTATGTTTGTCAGGCTGATCTCAAGCACCCGACCTCAGGTAATCTGCCCACCTTTGCCTCAAAAAGTGCTGGGATTAAACGTGTGAGCTACCATGCTTGGCTATGTATTTTGTTAAATTTTGGAAATTTCTGAAAGCTTCAGATTTCCAGATGGCTTGCCACTGCTTATCAATATGTATCTCCTAAAAATGAAGCCATTTATTTTTTACTATAATTTTATTGTACCCAATTTAACACTGGTAGAGCATTATGTGAGATAGAGTCCATGCTAAGATTCTCACATTTATTTTTTCCCAATTTTTTTTTTTCCAGATAGATTTTTCACTCAGGTGTCCATGGTGTAATGCTGTTCTACAGTTTTTTCTAACTGCAACTTCTACCTCCCAGTGTCCAGCGAAGTGATCATCCTGCCTCAGCCTATCAAGCAGTTGGGAGGCATGCACATCCACCTTGCCCAGCTAATGTTGTGTATTTTTAGTAGAGGTGGGGTTTCACCATGTTGATCAGGTTGGTCTTGAATCACTGGCTGCAAGGGAGTCACGAGGCTTGGCCCCTCAGTGTTGTGGTTACAGGTGTTAGCCACCATACCTGGCCTGTTTCCAGCATTTTTTAGTTCTTTGTTATTGTTGTTAAATTTCAAGATTTCAGATCCAATCAGGTATCACATGTTGTATTTTTCATGTTTCTTTTCTCTCCTTAAATCTGGAAATCTTTTTTATCCTTGTTTTTCCTATAATTGACAGTTTTGAAGAATACATGCCAGTTTTGTAGTAGGAATGCTTCACACTGAATTAATTTTCTCATGGTTAGCTTGAAAGTCAATATTTTGGAAAGAATATGATATGAGCAATGCTGTAAACTTGACATTGCATTCTCTCAGGAAGCACAGAAGTTTGTTCCACATTTTAAAGATATTGTGTATGTGTGTGTGTAAGTAATATACATTGTGAATCTCTGCAATATGAATATCTTGTTTTTCCAAGAACATCCACCCAGTGATTTCAGCATTCTTTGATGATTCCTGCATGAATGTTTAATACATTTGTGATTATGTAATCAGATTTGTAACATGGTGTCCTTTCTCACTCATACGAAGGATTCCTTATCTTGGACCTCAGTCTACTTTCTTAAAGAAATCTTGACTTTATTTCATTAAGTGGGAAGAGCTGCAGCCCAGCTAATATGTTGAAATGTGCAAGAGGCTGCAGTGTGTGAAGTATTTACTACGGCCGTAGACTCTGAAGCTAAGGAGCTAAGAAGTTTCTAGAAGCTGCAATCGACATGCCAAAGCAGTAAAACTGAAAGCCAATTCAAAATTCAAGGTCTGGAGGAAGATATCTACTGCTTACTGAGACTTGAGGTCTAGAGAGCTAGGTCTTATTAAAATAATTACTTTACCTACCATCTTTGTTCTAGGCTCAATGGCTGACCTTCAAGCAGTGGCTAGCTGTCCCATCTGTCTGGACTACTTGAAAGACCCAGTGACTATCAGTTGTGGGCATAACTTCTGTTTCTCCTGCATCATTATATCCTGGAAGGATCTAGATGATAGTTTTCTCTGCCCTTCTTGGCACTTTTGCTGTCCAGAAAAAAAATTGACAAGCAATCGTCAACTGGGTCGTTTGACTGAAATTGTAAGCAACTCCAGAAAAGCAGCAAGAGAAAGTGGCAGGAAGAGAAGCATGTATGTAAGAAGCATAATCAGGTTTTGACCTTTATTTGTCAGGAAGACCTAGAGCTTTTATGTTTAAGGTGGTGCAGTTTCTCCACTGATCACCAGCTTCACTGTGTTTGGCCCATAAAGAAGGCTGCCTCCTATCACAGAAAAAAATTGAAGCAATACAATGCACCATGGAAGGAGGGAGTAGAATTAACTGATAAAATCATTACCATATAAACCAGAAAATCATTAGAACTGAAGAAAAAGGTAAAATGTAAGAAAGAAGAAGTCAAGTCTGAATTTGAGCAACTTAGGTTATTTCTCCAAAATGAGCAAGAGACTGTTCTTGGGCAATTACAAGATGAGATGGATATTTTAGCACAACTGAATGAAAGCCTAAGAAAATTCTCAGATGATACCTCCTTGTTAAAATATCTACTAAAGGAGATACAGAGCATATATATGAAGTCAGGACTGAATTACTGGCAAATGTTAAGGACATCTATCACAGATACAAAAATTTCAAATTCCCTGAACCTTCTCCATTCATATTAAAAGAATATGGTTACCGTCTGCCTCCACAATATTCTGGCCTATACAAAATTATCAAGAGGTTTCAAGTGGATGTAATTCTAGATCCTGAAACAGCACATCGTAAACTTATAGTCTCAGCAGATAGAAAAACTGTGCGCTATGGAAATACAGTGCAAAACTTACCTCCAAGCCCAAGAAGATTTTATCGCCTCCCAGCTGTTGTGGGTTCTAAGGGCTATAGTAGTGGCCGGCAGTACTGGGAAGTAGAAGTGAAAGACAAGCCTGAATGGATCCTTGGTGTCTGTAATGACTCTCTTCCCAGAAGGAGGAAGCATCCACCAACATTAGTACAGAATGGATGGTGGGGAATTTGGCGATCTGGTCAGGATAATTATATTGTATTGGGTCATAAGGAAATTAATCTGCTGCCAAAAGTAAGACCTAGTAAAATTGGCAATTTTTTAGATTATGAAATGAAAGAGGTTTCCTTTTATAATCTGAATGATAGCTCTCTACTGTATACTTTTAATGATGATTTTACAGGATCACTTTTGGCTTATTTTTATATTGGAATGGACTCAAAACCTCTTAAAATTTCTAGAGTAACAGATTGTGAATAAATAACTATTGGAAAACTGTCGTTTTCTGACACCTAGCAAACATAATAGAGCCAGTGAATCTAGTTTTGGTAATTCTGTATTTTGTCCTATTTTTCCCACAAAAGAAACCCCAGAATTGTTTTTATCTCAGTGTCAGCACTAAAAAATGTGATTATAGGACCTACTTTATAACCAATTATGGGGTCAAAGACAAACTAATTTAGAAATCCTAAAATAAAATACTAAAAATATGTACTACTGGCCGGGCACAGTGGCTCAAGCCTGTAATCCCAGCACTTTGGGAGGCCGAGGCAGGTGGATTATAAGGTCAAGAGATCGAGACCATCCTGATCAACATGGCGAAACCCCATCTCTACTAAAAATACAAAATATTAGCTGGGCATGGTGGTGTGTGTCTGTAATCTCAGCTACTCAGGAGGCTGAGGCAGGAGTATTGCCTGAACCCAGGAGGCGAAGGTTGCAGTGAGCTGAGATGGCGCCATTGCACTCCAGCCTTGGTAACAGGAGCGAAACTCTGTCTCAAAAAAATAAATAAATAAAAATAAAAATATGTAGTACTAAAGTAATGTATTATGTAAAAAAATTTATTATTCCATTTATTGCCAGTAGCAGCCCAAAAATGTTTCTTCAGTATTGCCTGTGTATTTTTCCTTTAAGAAAGATTAAGTCGGTTGGGTGGGGTGGCTCATGCCTATAATCCCAGCACTTTGGGAGGCCAAGCCAGGTGGATCACGAGGTCAAGAGATCAAGATCATCCTGGTCAACAAGGTGAAACCCCATCTCTAGTAAAAATTCAAAAATTAGTTGGGCATGGTGGCACACACCATTGCTTAAACTCAGGAGGCAAAGGTTACAGTGAGCCGAGGTTGTGCCCTTGCACTCCAGCCTGGGTAATGAGCAAAACTCCATCTTAAAAATAAATAAACAGAAAAGATTAAGTCTTTATTTATCACTGTGTTGCCCAGGCTGTAATGCAATAGCACAATCTCAGCTTACTGCAACCTCTGCCTCCTGGATTCCAGTGAGTCTCCTGCCTCAGCCTCCTGAGTAGCTGGCATTACAGGCACACACTGCCACACCTGGCTAATTTTTGTATTTTTAGTAGGGGTTTCACCATGTTGATCAGGCTGGTCTCAAACTTCTGACATTGTGATATGCCTGCCTCAGCCTCCCAAAGTGCTGGGATTAGAGGTGTGAGCCACTGCACCTGCAACTTTTATTTAATTAATTTTTTTAAAAATTTTTATTTTGCCCAGGCTGGTCTTGAACGTGTGACCTAAAGCATTTCTCATGCCTTAGCCTCCTAAAGCACTGGGATTACGGGCATGAACCTCCATGCACAATGCCACTTTTCCCTTTCATCTGTCTACCTCAATATATCTAATTATTTTTTATTCAGTGTGTCTTTGTCAGGACTACCTTAGTTTTATAGAAAATGAGATGGTAGCTCATGCCTTTAATCCTAGCATTTGGCCACCAGACTGGCCAAAATGGTGAATCTCTATGAAAAATACAAACACATTAGCCATGCATAGTGGCACATGCCTGTAATCCCAGCTATTCATTAGGCTGAGGTAGGAGAATTGCTTGAACCCAGAAGGCAGAAATTGCAGTGAGTTGAATTGTGCCATTGCAATCCAGCTTGGGAAATGAGTGAAACTCTGTCTGAACAAAAAAAGAGATGGCACTCTTACATCTTCCTCTGCCACACACACATACTGTACACACATACTGAACACCCACAATCAGAACATCTGTTCTCCTATTCCCACTGGACAGAGTACCCTCTAGTGTAGTCAGCTACTGTCCTTCACTTCTCTTTTGGAACTGATCTCTAGGCTCAGAATCTGTATTAACTTAGTTCCATATTTTCCTCCTTAGGTTTCTTTGGTTAATTCAGGGATTAATATCTTTCAATAGATGAAAAATATGTAACTTTTAGAAAAAATTGTGTTAACAAAAAAGACTGGTATGATTTTGATGGGATTATTTGTTGTATCTTATTATATTAGTATGGAGAAAATTAACATCTTAACATGTCAGCTAGTAGACATAACTGAGTGAATCTAGTCTATTCCATGAATTCTTACGTAATTATCTAAAATTTGTAATTTTTGTACACGTGTTTAACATTAACATCTTTTGTCAAATTTGTCCTTAAGTATTTGATATTTTTTTGTCGATTATTTCAATTCTAATCGTTTATTACTAGAATATAGAAAATTGATTTTTGTGTGTTCATCTTATTTTCTATAAGGTTGTTAAACTCATTTCTAGGAGCTCTTATGTAGGTTCCATTGGATTGTCGGCATAGATAATCATGTCATAAGCAAAAAAATACATTTGTAGTTCTTGTGTAACCTAATTTTTTCTTCCTTCCTTCCCTCTTCTTTTCTTCCTTCCTTCCTTCCTTCCTTCCTTCCTTCCTTCCTTCCTTCCTTCCTTCCTTCCTTCCTTCCTTCCTTTTCTCTCTCTTTCTCTCTCACTGTTTTAAAATGTCTCTGTCTCCATTCCACTCTGTCACCCAGGCTGGAGTTTAATGGTGTAATCTTGGATCATTGCAACCTCTGCCTCTCAAGTTGAAGCGATTATCTTGCCTCGGCCTCCCATGTAGCTGGGATTACAGGTACTCACCACCACACCTGGCTAATTTTTTTATTTCTGGTACAGATGGTGTTTCACCATGTTGGCCAGTGTGGTCTCAAGCTCAAGACCTCAAATGTCCTGCCTGCCTCACCAAAGTACTGGGATTACAGATGAACCACTGCGCCCAGCCCAAAACCACAATGTTTTAAAATCTGGATTTAAAGTTTCAATTATTGTTTACAACATTTATTTGAATTACAAATATTTCTTTCAAACCACTTTTTACAGCTTTTCAAAGGTAGCCACGTTGAACGTTTCAGCTCTTTTATAGTCACTGAATCACATTTTAATAATTATGGACTTCATAATTTGAAGCATTATTGATATAAAATAATATCTCACTTTGGAAAGTCAGAATTTGGAACAGCCTGCACCCAGTGGCCCTCTTCTAATAGAATTTATGATTTTTGTCTTAGAATATTCTCTCACATTTATTCTACTATTTCAATCCCATTCATTTCTGAGCCATGTATTGTGCAATGGTTTTTATTCTGTTTTTTCTATAACTGTTCTCTGTAGTTAATACTTTTTTCATTTTCAATATGTTTTGTTTTCATTTCAAGTTTTTTTTTGAGACGGGGGTTTTACCATGTTGGTCAGACTGGTCTCAAACTTCTGACCTCAGTTAATCCACCCACCTTGGCCTCCCAAAGTGTTGGGATTACAGGCATGAGCCACCACGCCCGGCCTCATTTCAAGTTTTAAAGCTTGTATACAAGACTACTTTATTCCTGCACCTTCTCAATTGTTTCTTCCTGATTTTTGCCCTTTTCTATCCCTACTTGGTGAGATTTGGCTTTCTGTTCAAGGATCTTTTGTGGTCTCTGTGCAGTTTTAGCCTAGCAATAATTACCTTGCTGGGTGAATTCCTACATGGACAGTTGTGCCATTAGCCTTTTCCACTGCACCCATTCACTGTAGATGACATTTCTTTGTAAACCTGAACAAAGTACTGCTAAGTTGCTGATGTTTATAGAGTCCTACTACAACCTGAGCTGCATTATTCTTTTGGGTGGGCATAGATGGAATGTTGTACTTCTGTCTCAGCTCTATGGAAAGAGGGGAAGACATCATCTTCCTGCAAATGTGGAAAGGTGCATTGGAATGCCTTTTATTGTTCTTGTTTCAGTCAGAATACACAAAGGGATTGAACTTTATTTTGGCCACTTCCGCTTCAGTGATGTCCTCAAAAGGAAAGAGCTTCATGTTCTTATTCTTAATTCATTTCCAAACTGTCCCCTGCAGTTGTCTAATTTCCTGAGTTCATTAGCTGTCTAATAACGCACATGAAAAAGAAAGTTTTTGAGACCTATGTATCTGAAAATGTCTTTGGTTTATCCTGACATTTAACCAGAAGTTTTTTAGAGCCTGTTATTACAGTTTTAAAACATCTTACTCTTACATATTTTTAACCTTTTAAATTGGGAAATATATATTACAAAAAATAAAAACGGGAAACAAAAATAAACAGGGAAATATATTGTTATGATATCCACAATATATTATGAAATATATTAGCATAAATGTGCCGGAATTATGAGATTTAGTCAATACGTTACACAAATTGAATCATAAACTCACACCCAAGGTCAGCTGGCATTATGGTGGATAAATTTAAGCTCCAGGTACTATTTTAATGCTTCAGCCTTCGTATTCTTTTGAGATGGAGTCTAGCTCTGTGACCCAGGCTGGAGGGCAGTGGCATGATCTCTGCTAATGATAGCTTCTCTCTCCTGGGTTCAATCAATTCTCTCACCTCAGCCTTTAGACTAGCTAAAATTAAAGATGCATGCCACCACAGCCAGTCAATTTTTGTATTTTTAGTAGAGACATAGATTTCCACGTTGCTCAGGCTGGTCTTGGCTCCTGACCTCAAGTGATCTACCTGCCGTAGTGTCCCAAAGTGCTGGAATTACAGGCATGAGCCACCATGCCTGGCCAGATATCTTTATCTTGCACCAATCCAGAGAAAACCACACATCTCCTAGTTACATTCCAATAATAAATTATAGGAGACATCAAAAATAAGATGACATTGGCGAAATAAGTGTTATTAGAGATACATGGAATGACTAAAATATTTGAGAATCTGTCAACTCAGTGACTCCCTTGGACAAGAAAACAATCAGAGCTTAAAGACAATTATTTCTGTAAGTGATAAAAGTTTCACAAATAAAAAATATAATTATGTATTTCCAGCATCTCTACTCTGCACTCCCCGTGCCAGTTTCTGGCTATATAACTTTCCAGCACCAACCTTGTGTTCCGAGAAATCATCACTTTCCTTCCTCCTACACAGTAAGTATTCTTTCTACTTGTCCTGTCTCTTACTCATTGCCAAAACTAAGGCACTGAGATGGTGGAAAGAGCAGACATTTGAAACTCCATACTAGGCCAGGCAGTTTGTGGTCATTATCAATTTATTGCCTTTATTTTTATCTTTTCAACAAATCACCTTTGGTTTCGATTTTCTGCCTTGTTTTCAACTTTGGTTTTATTAATTT